GCCTTGGCCCGGGACCCCCCGGCCACCCCCCTTCCTCCTCTTTATTATTATTATTTTCCTGGCTGGGGCCTGGTGGCCCTGGAAACTTCCCTGCTGTTCCGTATCCAAGGAACGCCCTGCTCCAGGGGGAAGCACAGCAAGGCCGGGCTCCCCACGCGGGGCGGCCAGATGCAGGGGGCCATTCCCACGGCCTTGGGGCTGCTCTGCCCTCCCGGGCATCTCTGTGGCGGTGGCTTCCCCGCAAGCCGCCCCGCCCAGCATTCCCGTGGCTGGGACACACAATATGATTAAAGCAGATAATAGTGGTGATGTTTGTTGTGACAGGGTGTTTTGGGGAGTGACGAGCGAAGGGTTAAGTCCTGGGAATTGGGAATATCGCCTGGCTGCTAATAACACGTGAGTCATCGATGAAATAACACATGGGCGCAGGGAGAGAGCCGACACCTGGCTTTACCGCTGCCTTGGGATGCGCCCGTGGGTATCAACAGGCAGTACAGAGCAAATCCTGCTTCCCGGGTGCTGGGGGGCGCAGCTGGAGCGCGCTGTGCTGCGGGAACGCTGCCGGCCTTGGCCGCGTCGCATCCGAAACGGGAGCAGCGGGTGCCCTGAGATGCGTGCGCCCACGTGGGACAGGACACACAAGCTCGCGGTGGGCACCACAGGCCTGAGTGTTCCCAGACGAGGCTTGGGATCAGTCTGCAGCGCTTCCAGACTCCTGGAAACCGTACAAAGAGGAGGCCTGCACTCCAGCCCGGTCAGCAGAGGAATCTGCACACGCAGACAGGATCGCTGCAATTGCTGCTGGCTGAGTGAGCAACTTTGCAGGCTCCCTCATCCCCGCGCCCTGAATGTCAGCTTTGAATTTTCTTTGCTATTTTTAGGGACGGTTCCAAATGGGCGAGGATCCCTCCGTCCTCGCCTTGCAGGGCTCCGCACCATATGAATATTGCAAGGCTCGATATTGATGTGTGTGCGGGATGGAGCGGGGGATCAGGCGTCTTGCACGCACAGCGGGAACGGGAGGTCGTGGCGAAAACATTGCCCTGCAAGCAGGATGGGCCTCGACGTAAAAGATTTATTAATTTAATCCAAAGCATTAAAAGGTCATGTATTAATCAAAGAGATGCTTAAAAATGTCAAAGTCCTTTGTCAGGTTTGAAGTGCATCTCTATAGTTATCATAAAATATATATATCAGTCTGGCAGGGAGCCCTGGGAGGACGAGGAGCGGAGGGGATGGGCGGGCGAAGCCAGGGACGTGCCGAAGGGTTTCCCTCTTCCTCCCTGGGAAGAGCCAGAGCTGCTTGTGGGATGTGGCCCCTGGTGCTGCGTCGGGCGCGGGGTTGTCCTTGGGGTGGCCCTGTGCTGACACAAGCTGTGGCTTAGCCCTGCTTGTCCCCAGGCCGGGTTTGTGCCCCCTCCCAAGCAGGCTGGTGTCCCTGTCGTCCTCAGCTTGGCTGCAGCGGGTGGCTAGGTCTTGGCATGGGGACAGGGAGCTGCACGGGGGGACATGGAGCGGGTCCCGTTTCCCCCCTCGAGTCTGAGGGTGGCTGAAGGGCCCCTCAGCTGCCACCGCGCCCAGCAGTGGCCAGGGGACAATG